GGCCGGGGCCGGAGCCGGAGCCGAGGGGCGGGACCAGGCTCCCCGCGGGCCACGCCCCCTCCCCGCGCTGGACGTGGCCGCCCCTCCCCCACCGCCCGCAGCCCTGCCCCTAGCCCTGTGCGCAGCCCCGGCCTGACCTGCACCTCGGCTTCCGGCGGCCACTCGGTGTTGATGAGCAGGTCGTAGAGGATGTTCTCCTCTCCGCCCGCTGCCACCTCCTCCTCCCCCTCTTCGCCGCCTCCGGCCGCAGCCATACTACGCGGCCCCGCTCCTGCTACGGCGGCCGCGAGCGGACAGAGCGCTCACTTCGCGCTCCTCCGCGGAAGGCGGGGCGCCTTCCACGTGGCCCAGGGAGGGAGGATGATCCCTTCTGGGCTCAGGGGGCAGGGTTTGCACCTGCGCCAAATCAGTGGCGCAAGTTGTGCTGAAGTCGGAAGAAGCCAGAGTGAGCTCGTAAAGCGGGAGAGCAGCCACGTAAGGGTAATGCTGCGAGTAGATTGAACCAAGACTGTGTACACTGGAAAGCTGTCAAGATCTAAATGGAAACTCCAGTGGTGCCATGTCACGTCTGGCCTTTTCTGTTTCGGCGGTGCCGGACTTGTGTTTTGTACGCGTCCAAACGGCCTCGTTTTATTAGGTCACGGCAAAAAATATATATAATTGAGAATGCCAGGACCTCTCCGCTGTGCTGCAGTTTGTCTTCAAGGTTCAGGTATCCAGGTTGCAGCCGTATCGGTCTAGAGGTAAAAGCAATCTAGACTTGTAGTAGAGATGACATCTTTTATTAAACCAGGATTTTTGCAAAAAAAAAAAATTTAGAAAAAACAAAGATTTGGGCTTTTTTGCAAAAATCTTGTTGGTCTAATAAAAGATGTCATCTCTACTACAAGTCTGGATTGTTTTTTCCTCTAGACCAGTATGGCTGCAACCTGGATACCTGACATATGGAAGATACCAAATTGTAGCTGATTTTAAAAAAATGATATCTTCATAATTTCCCAAGCAGGAAGCAACTGTGACCACCTGCAACCTGAGATATTGCTCCTGCTTTGGTCCAAGGTAATTTGCATAGTAACACAGCATCAGAGGGGAGCTGAGAGATGTTTCACCAGTTAAGAACTGTATGCTCAGAGGCACTTTCCATCGATAGACTCCTCTGTGAAATCCCATAAAATACGAACTGTCATTTCTACCCAAGAGAACTTTTACAATCTTTTCTGTGATGCCAGATGAAAGGTGTTTGTACCCAAAAGCTTGCAATGAAAGAATTTTTTTGGAAAAAATCTTGTTGGTCCAATAAAAGATAGCACCCTCTACCATAAGCCCAGATTGCTTCTTCCAAGATTAGGGAACTAGAAGAAATGGATAAGAAACTGCACACGCACATGCACACTGCATAGTTAAAGTCCCCATCACACACACACACGCACTCAACATCCTCCTGATGCACACTGCAGTTCTCTCTCTCTCTCTCTCTCACTGCAAACCTCTGGGAGCATGAGTAGAAAGATGCACAAGGTCTGCAGCACTTTTCTCCTTTGGAACCACAGGTCCCAATCCCAGTAGCTCTACAAGGGCATCCAAGCCACAAGAGCAGTCGGAGCAAATCCAACAGCCTTGCTAGTGCTGCCCCCGGTCAGAAGGCTCCTCGCAGCAGGCTCTGCCCAATTTTTGGAACTCGCGGCTAATTCTAGAGGCTGGTACAGCTCCGGCGGGAGCCCTGCCTGTGAGCTGAACAGGAAGTGAGCAAGGTGGCGTGAAAGAAAATACTTCAGGAGTCCTTCCATGCCATGTTTCATTCCTATTTAGAGCCCTGTTACCATTCACGCCATGTGAGAGAGGAAACAAAGGCACCGCGCTGCACGCTTGAAAACCTGTACAAATATACCCCTTGCACAATTCCAGGATAAAATACTATGGTCAAGAAATGATGCAGGTTTCTGTTCAGGCCCAGAGCATTCCTTGGGCCTGGGCCATCCCTTCTCCCAGTGCCACCAGGTACTTCCTTCCACGCTGCATTGCTCTGACTCCTCGGCCCTGGTCATGTCCTGTGTGGATGCCAGGTGGCACCAAGGGGTGAAAAAAAAACAGTGTCTAGTTCTCCTGGCTGTGATGGGAACCAACCCTCCCTCCCGGCTACAACTCCCAAAGCTTAAAAAAATAAATAAATTAGCAGCAGCCTCTTTTCACAACAGTAGGAGCCAAATGGATGGTATTTTAGAGAGGCTCCCGTATCCCCGGCGTGGGATGGGGTCAGCCCGAGGTCCGGGGGGGGGGG